GTAGCAGCCCTCATTCAACAACATTCAAACAATACTAAATTTAGACAATAGTTTATAACAATTATTTGTTATTTCAATAGGCTTGATTAAATTGTGGCCTTGCCAAAGTACGAGTACCTCTTGGTATAAATTGTACTCGGTAAGTGGAGTCTATTGCATATACAATAGCATAATGATGATTATGAATCAAGTCAATTTTTTCATATCAGTCTAATTGAATTGTGCTTTCTTTTCTTTTTTTCTTTCCATTGCGACGGTAAAATTGACTGAAACTACACACGAATGCTACCCCAAATTCGACCGTAAACTTGGGCCTGGTAATGGGTGATTTGCGCTAACAATTGTTCCTTTTAATTAAAAGTACATAATGAAATATCAATATCAAATCCCTTTATTATAATCCAAATTTTAATCAAAAATCTATTATTGCTTTCACAAATTACGTTCAAAAAAAATTCGGCATTTTTATCACTTTTTCACGTCAAAAGTTAAACTATGTCATTTTGAGACAAGCCGGTAAAATGCATTCTTTTATATGAAAAAATAACTAATTTGGAGATTGTTTAATTTAGTTATTGAACAGAAATATTGAAAATATAAAGAGAAAAAATTATATTTATTTTTCATTGTTTACTGTAATATTATTCCCGAATAAATCGTTCAATTGCCGACACATAAAGCACCCAAGTTTCAAGTGAAATACTTTGAATTTGACAGATGTGACAGTTAAAGTCGATATTTGGATCATTGTGAAATTCAAACCAAAAAGATCATAGATAAGTAAAATAACGTAATATTTTTAAATATGTTTGCCATTTTATTATGAAAAAATAAATAAAATTGAATATGCAGCAAAAATATATCAATCTAATAATTTCAACTTCGTTATTTTGTATTGTTTTAGTGAAAATTCATGAAATATGTCGAGATTTGGGAGCCGAGAATTGGACGAATATCCGACATTTGGAATTTCCGATGTTACGACGGAAAAATGGAAAATAATAATATATTTTTGAAAATTTCTTTCTTTTGACAAATGTGAAATGAAGCACAATTAAATTCTGGATAGAATTGTGTATAGAATGATATTTATAGATGAAAGCAAAAGTGTTAAATATCAAATTGAAGTTGAAAATTCAAACAAATAGTCCGACATTTAGGCGAGTGTCCATATAACCATCTATTTTCAAAAAATTCGGCTTAATTTCGACTCGATTCAAAGTCAAAGAACAACTGTGAATTAAAAATAGTTTTTTGTTCCAGTTTTGTATGACCAGCTCCACCGCATTTATTTTATAAATAGCTTTCATTGGGCTGAATGTGAGTGGGGGATGGTAAAAAGTTTTGAGTTATTCTTTGAAGACTGGGCTGGTATTCTAATACACTTTTCCGATCAATTTATTCGGAATTATTCCGAATAATATATTTCTATGAATGAATATTTTACTTCATAAACATTGCTGCACATAGCGAGAATAATAGGCGTTATTCATAAGACAAAAAAAACAAACAAACAACATTCTACTTATTTTTAGTGAAATTATTCCGAAACCTGTCTACATGGTGGAATTAATTATATAGTTTCTATTTAAAAAAAATAATAATTTTTTGTCTTTTCAACATTTTGCAACAAATGTAGACATCAAAAGTATCAAAATAAAACTCTAATAGGACTCTACATTTGACGCCACACGTTGAAAAGATTTTAAAAAAATGTCACACACTCGTAATGTCTGCTACCGTCAGGCACTGAAACGGACTGAAAACAATAGAAATGATTGTAATATTGATTGTAAGTGTTAATATAATAATAACAATAATTTCTATTATTTTCACTGAGCTGAGCTGTTTAAATAAACAATATTTCCGAATGATTCTTGTAGAATAGACTTAGAATACCAGCCCTGAAAACATTTTGCTCCTCAATTTTCTCAAAAATGAAATGGAGGTTCATACTAGATAGAATAGCCTTTTTGATATAATTTTCTTTCGATTTGCTAGGGTTTTTTGATGAAAAAAATTCTTTCAATTTGCTAGGGCTTTTGACGAAAAAAAATAAGACTTTTCTTTTTCCAAATTTTTGTGTCATTAAACATCAAAAAAATTTCTTATTTTAAGCAATTGACATGATTTTTGTATAAAATTCAGTTTGTAGCTCGAATGATGATGTAAACAATGTTTCCTAAAACGTTCTCATTTTATTTAATTTAATCATGTTTAATTGTGTATCTAAGAAAATTTCATTTCATTTTTCATTATTGATTAACTGATACAGTATGTTATTTTTTTACCTTAAAAAGCCAATGGTAAAATTTACCGATTTTTCGATTATTGGTCTGTCTACTTTTTATTCAAAAATTTTTTTTAAAAAATATTGGTTAAAAATATATTTCATTCCAAATTAATCTCATAACTGCGAACATCATCTTAATCATTACGAATGTCGGTTTATGACTTTGACAAAGGAAGTCCAAATGTGAAGTAAATCTTATAAGTTATATATTACAACCGATGTTTTTTTTATTTTGAAAAATTTTCCATTATTTATTTTATTTAAATACATTCCTTATTGTAAATGAATTAATTTTTTTTTGAGTCAAAAACAAAAAAAAAGCATTATCGAAACTTTATCTCTCAAATGAGCCGAAAAAGGTCAGTTTTTCAAGATTATTCAGCTTGCCGAAAAATTAAGCCAAAAATATATATATGAATTGAGTCATTCTACAAATGGTCAATCAAAGCAATTTTTACCTCGATGTGACTAACAAGTTAGTGACTCAAAAATCTATTACATAGATACAGCATTTTCATCGATACAGCTCATAAACATAAAGATCAAAACAAATAAAATGTATGGCAACCACATAGTAGATGTCCTCGTGATATATGTATTGAAATTCTCAATGAAAATCTGTTCATATTTGATTAATGAAAATTGAGAAAATTCGACACTTAATTTACATATTTACAGAATATATTAACGGTGTATAACTTTCTTTGCAGCTCAATTTTTTCTCATTCATACAATTTATATTGTTGTAACCTTTAAAAAATGTCAAATTTTATACATAATGATTATTCACAATTAGCTCAAATTCTCAACTTGAGCGCTGTTACCGAGCTAGTTCTTTCAAATTTGATTCAAACCTTTTGTTAAATTTGATCCAAACTAAATTTATTCATTACATAAAATTCAGATAAAATCAATTAATAGACCCATAAGTTAGTTCAGCAACAAAATTACTACGTTTGTTGAAAAAAGGATGTTCAAATTTTCTACTCGAAATTTTCAAAAGAAATTCATTTAGATGCGTTTCATTTCATGAATTTATTTTCAACTTTACTCTATTCATATATACAATTCGTATTTAAAGTTATAATTGGTAAAGTAAAAATTCGATAAAGCAGATGTCACAGATATTTTTTAGTTTAACATTGTTTATGCACGAAAAGTGTGATGTCTTATAGACGGAGTCTAAATTATTATTTTCACTTCTTAAATGGAATGAAAAATGAATTAAAAGAGAATTAATCATTTTCGTGTTAAAATAGAAGTTTCTTATCTTTGAACCTTATGCCTGTGTGTTTTCTCCAATAGCTTTTATGATTCTTGATTTAATTTTTTATTGTATATTATAGAACTGAATGTCGATTCTATTTGATATGGCATCTTTTGGCATTGTGTGTTCGCTATTTTGATATTTCTACGTTCAATAATTTGTTCATTTTATTACACCTCTTGTTTGACCTGGTACGAGAAAATTGTTAAAGAAAAACAATCGATTAGTACCACAAAAAGAAAATATCATAAATATTATAATAATAACAACAATATTAGATTGTTATAAGCAATTTTTGTTCTCAACAAATATTGCCTAACTTTATAGTTTGTTAAATTTATTCCATATAATTATAATATTAAGAATAAAGATCAAACACAGTTTTAATCTACGGCAAATGACCTTTTATGTCCCTTGCAGTTACTAAAGTTTTGAGCAAAACATAAAAGTATGATATGTATAAAAATGTAACGCTTTTAGTACATTTTAACGATGAAAATGTTACGCTGAAACCCATTTTGGTGGTCATTTTCGTATTGAATAGAAGGTAGATCATACATTTCCAATAAAGAATAAAGATTTTTAGTGGAATAGGATTAGACTTTTAGTGTAACAAATCGAGAAATTGACGTATACACGTTTAATCGAAACTTACAGAATTCACAGAAAACGGATTTTAACGTTTTTCCACCAATTAAGTTGCACAATCATTCGCACTTTATTTTCACTAAAATTGTTTTCAAATTTTGTAGTAGAAAAATAATAATTCAGTTTCTTTATTTTATTTATTAATTTATATACTGGTACGATAAATTCTCAAACAATTATTTCTCTAAATATACAAAATACGAATATGATTGTGTGCATGATCTAAGATGTAAGAAGCGTAAAATTTGAATTCTGTGCATCCTGTGATTTTTTTTATTTCTGTCAAATTCGGTGGAAATGTGTACGCACACAATTTAAATATCTGTATTGTGTGTGACTTCTACTATAGGCGCACCACACTACAGTGAAATTCCAAGCACTGTATATAAGTGAACTTTGTGTCCAATATTGAGGTTGGAATCGAGGAATCCCTGAAATCGTAAAAATCAAAGAATTCATTGAAATCACATAATTCAAATTGGATTCATAGGTGTCTACCTCCTGGATTAAAATGGATTCAATAATCCCATGTATGGAATAGCAAAATTTAGTTAGATTCAATGTTTTTGTAGTGAACAGGACAGAATTTCATTTAATCATTGATTTGCTTTGAGATAGAAATTTTTTCTTTTTTAAATATTTTTTAATTTTAAAATAATAAAAAAAAAACAAATTTACAAAACAATAAAATTACTTTCTTAAATATTATTCTTGAAAAAATAATATGAATTATCAGTAACAAAATGTCATACGCCAGTTTCGATAAATAAGTTTTTAAATAATTTAATAGCGGCAAAATGTGATATTATATTTGACAATGAATTGACGGATATATTGGAATCATGGTTTATTAGTTTATGTCTCCCCCTAGCATTGTACATCATAATTTGAACCCGACCTAGCACCACGTTAAGTTTTACAAGTTTGCATAATCACATCATATGTTACAATTGAATCCTTTTTGAAGAGTTTGTGATTTTTCAATTTTGTGTTTGTTGTTATTTGAATGAGTAATTTTTTTTGTTGCTCGATCGATTCTTGTAAGCAACGCGTTGAATACATGTTCTGAAATTCACAACAGAATGAAATCAAAATTACAAATATGTATATTTCGGCACGCGATTAAATTGATTTTGGACAGCGACGCAACTCTTACATATTAGAATAAGCAGTAATTTCAAAGATCGTTACTTTATCTCACATTCACTTTAGTGCATATTTTTTTTTGTAATTTCTGTAGTTATTGTGACAACAACGGATTTCATCGTCTCATCACCGAATAACATTTTAAGCGTTCATTTCGAACTCAGTTTGTTTTTCCATTTTCATTGGTTTTTCTCAGTCCAAAATGAGTAGAAAAATAGTTTGCACGATTGGATCTCGATGATTAAATTAAGTCGACCGAAGTGAATGATAAAATCTTCTATTGTTTTCACTCCATTTCAGCATCTCACGTTAGCTTCCTAAGCTGAGCATGAAAATATCTCAATATAATGTCTGGCTTCTTCACTAGAGCGGCCCTTTTCTTTGCGATAGCAGCTTTTTTCTTTTTACAGATGATTCATTTGTCGCAGAAAAAATAAACAATTGTATACAATGAGATTTGATTTTAGTTTATAAAAAGAATTTAAATAAAAGAATTTTTAAACGTTTATCATTGCAATTATTTATTTTTTATTTCATAAATGCGAATTTCGAATCGAAAACTATGACAATCGACAGTTAACTGCCGTGCACGTCGGTGCTGAACATTTAGTCATATTCAAAAGTTTGCATCACATCATTTTTTTCGTTTTTTTTATTTTACAATAGACGCAAAATGGGTTGCCACAAGCCAAGCGATCCCAACACTGTGTGATCACAGATGAATTAAACAGGGACTCACCAAGGTCATACAGCCGTAGTACTAAGACGTTATAATTGCAATAATTTTGACTTTATCCATCGAAGCAACGGAAATTGCATGTCATTAGTTCTTCTCATGAAAGTAAATTATTTTTTTTTATTTGTTTCTTGTTTTGAATTAAAAAAAACATGATATTATTTTTTGATATTTCATATCATTCGAACGTATGTTCTTCTCTAATGACAATAAAATTCAAAATAAAAAGATGATGAATTCAGCGTGATCCAACGTTTTATTAACCCTTCATGCGTATAGTATGGGTCTATTGGATCCTCCATACAAAATGTATGGAAACATGGATTATATATATGGATATGGAGAACAAAATTGTCAAGAAAATTTAAAAATAAATAAAGATGGGACACAGTAGTGCAACCACTACGAAACTGATGACTGCTAAAGTGGTTGACGTTCAACCGCAAAGCGAATGAATGCAAGCATCATTCACACTAAGCGCACGTTCATTCAGTCATCTTCAACGGTGAATAACATGTGTTAGGTAAGTTTTGAGACCAAATTCAGGCCTCCTCCATTTGAACAACAAATATACAATACTACATAAATTCTTTTTTATTGGTAATTTATTCATAGGCTATCGAATAGCACATTCAATTTACACTTAATGGACCATTGTCTTCTATTTTTCCCAGTATGCGCCAAACCTTTTCTTTCAACTTTCTCTCAAACCTTCCAACCAATTGTTGCACGTTTCAAGTATTTTGGACCTTCGCCTATAACATGCATCCAAAAACAGACTAGAAATAATTAATTTAGTATCTTTTTGCGAAGTTAAAAAGATGGTCCTTTTTTATGGAAATGCTATTTTTTAAGAAGTGAGCCATTATTGTGATTTTTTCTGCTTGCAAAGCACAATTTTGTCTTTAATCATATAGTTCTCAACGAATTCTATCGATTTCAACAATATTCGGTTGATAATGGAGCATCTAATGGAGGTTTAACCTTACGATACAGCACTTAATGTTCGAATAATGGTTCTAAGACACCTTTTAAAGAAGATCCCAAACCACTTGCACTTGATTCGTGGCTCAATTTGGAGACGAATGCTTTAGCGTCCAAAATCATGAATTTTTCAGTGTAACACGCGGTAGATGAAGTAAACACCTAATTTTTGACACCCTTTAAAATTTTTGCGTACCTTATTTTGCTGATTCCTAATGATCGTGTCCAAATTTATTGTTTTGGTTTACCCCCGATTTAAATTTCTATAGACAAATCGATTACACAATAAACAAATCAAAATCAGCCCTTGGCCAGTTGAATAACATTTTTAAAAATAAATTAATTAACACAGATGTCAAAAAACTGGCATACAAACAATTAATTAGACCCATTATTACATATGTATGTCCTATCTAGTGGAATACTTCCTCCAATCAAATGGAGAGAATAAGAAAATTCGAAAGAAAAATTTTAAGACATTGTACTGGTCGCTATAGAGACCAAGATGGAAAATATTTTAACTCTGCGATGTTATACAACGAGAGCAATATTGATAGAATAGACAGATATATCGTTAATCTTGCATTAAATTTTTACGATAAAATCGATATAAACAGGGATATTAAACCATTTAATGAATGGCAAAATTTACTTCAAGCAAGCAATGGTTTCCATAGGCAACCTGCCTATAACTGGCTTAAAAATAAATCCAACGAATTTTTCGAATTTGACGGCAAGCTACTTTTTTACAACAAAAACAGATCGGGCAACATAGCCTATATCACACACCAATAGATATAGTTACGGTTTTTTCTTTTCCTTTTCCCGTATTTATTAAAAACTAACACATTAAATTAATAAATACCGAACCATAAAGCTTGCGAGCAAACATCAACATTTTCATTAGAATTAGTTCATAAAACTTCTTGTAACTAGAATTTAAGCAAAAATAAAATAAAGTTACGCTTTTGAAAAAAAAAAAAATTTTTTTTTGGTTCTGCTGTAACCATAAAAATCAACAAGAATAAATTTTTGCTTGACTAACCCGGTTTTCGGTACTTGATGACAATTTTGAAGGGAATACGACCGTATTTTTTGCATTCTCTAGAATTCTCATCTTCATACTAAGTCCCTGAAAAACGATACATGGTTCGAAGACAGTTCGGTTCATCTTTAGACACATGCAGAATTTGTTTTGAAACCATTCCAAAACCATTTGAGACACTTTTTCGTAAATCCAATTTGGACGTCATCACGAATGGAAATTTTTGTGCAAATTGTGTTTGACAGTAGAGTAGTAGTAGTCCCATTAAGTCTCCTATGTGCATTGGTTGACATTTTTGTTTTGTTTATGTAGCGCAATAAACGCCTGAATTTAGTCTCAAAACTAAACTCACACATGTTACATGTTACATTTAGCTCTGTAATCTAATTGTATTTGAAGAATTTTCGTTGAGTTCAGTCTTTCTATCTCTCGCGAGGCACAAACCGATGACCGTTTGCATTTTTTATGAACTTAATGTTAACTATTTAGTCAGCCAGTATTTGGCGGTGAAAATAAATTGAATTGAATTGAATTGAATCAACGTTTGCGGCATCGCAGCATTCGTCATTTACAACTATGTCATATTTTTGATACGAAAAATACACATTTCAACGAAAGTGGTTTCTCATCGAAATGTTTGGTGCATTACTGATGGTTTACATGTACTCGCAGCATGGAAGTGCAGCTACATCCAACTTTGAATCAATTTCGTAAAATAATTTTAAACGTTCCGAATATCACCGAAGGATCATCGCCGCAGTCATCAACGCAAAAACGTCGTTGTCCTTTATGTCCAGTTCCTCTCGTTGAGTAAACTTGTTGTAGTAAATGTAACAAGTGAACATTCAAACTTGACTGTTTTGTGTATACAAAATGAAAATAAAAACGCACACATAAAACTGATTCTTCAGACTCGAATTGATTTCCCTACATTTATTTCAATACTTTTTATTTATGCCTCTATTTATTCAACTCACTTCATTGATTTTTGCTTCCTCAAAATATTTTCATACATTTTGTACGATGAGTCTGATGGACCTATACTATACGTTTTTGTTCTCAAGTCATACTGTACGCAGAAGACTTAAGACACGTGACAACATCGGCAAAGTCTGGCTTATGATACCATGTTTTCGTAAGTTGGTAAAAGCTACTAAAATCGTTTGTCCCACAAATGATTCGGCAACGGAGGAGCAATACCTCGACAACGTTCATATCAACCTGAAAACCGCATTGCCAATGACGATTGCGAAAAATTTTTTAAGCTGAAAACATCTTCAACAACTTGTACCGATGAAAGGCCATACTTCGGTGATAAAGATATAAAAGAATTTTTCGAAACCACAGTCAATTGGTAAAACTTATTCAACTGATAGTCTCTTTTGAAAAATATGCCACAGAGATGTCAGAAATGGTAAATTTAATTCGTTGTTGGTTGATTTTATATTAAATTAAATCTACCAAAATTGAAATAAAATACCACATTCCTTCTCTCTGTGCACCGAGATACCAGGAATGGGAATATTGAAAGACAGCTTCGATTGAGAGAAAGTTGTTGGACGAGCTGCATTGGTTAGGTGCACCCGAAGATTGCAACATCAAAAAATGTGTAGACGGAAATTGGTTCTAATCGATTCTGATTCAGATATATATTCAACGTGAAATCCGATGGTATCATAAAAAGTACAAAGATCGTCGTGATGCACCACAAATCAAAAAATTTCTCTTTATGTCAATGGATTCCGCGGAAATAAAATTGGAAGTTGTAATCTATTTTTCGATGTGAATAAAAATTAAAAACTTATCAAAAAGGATTTTGATTTGCCCAATTTGTTCCGATAGACCAATGTCTGCGTCGATAGACAACAAGCCAAAAGTACCACAACTCGAAACAAATGATGCCGAAATCAAAGAAAAGTATGAAGAAGAAAATTGAAATATGCTGTTGTTATCCGGGCATACAGACATGAAACACTTCAGTACGACGAGATTTGGATAACAAAGTCATTTTGATTTTTTTAAATGAATGAAAGTGTTAAAACAATATCGCTTTTGTTGTTCTTATTTTCTTAGATCTTTTTGTTTCTTATTTTTGCGTATACCCAGCAAACGTTATTACTGCCTTGTAACGAATAAGGCTGCCAAGATGCAAAGGCCGAAAGAATTACACGGCTTTTATTCATTAATTACACGATTGTTCACATTCGAAGAGAAACCTGATCGTAATCGTGTTGCAGCTACTTTGGGTGAAATTCCATATTGTGTTTTATTATATAATGCGTTAGCTGAATGCGTAGTAGCAGCAACCCTCATTTAACACCAGCATTCAAACAATACTTAATTTGTAAATTAGTTTATAACAATGATTTGTTGTTCGCTACTCTTGATTTACCTCTTGGTATGAATTGTACTATGTAAGTGGAGTTTTTTGTATATTGATTATGTTGAATCAAGTCAATTTTTTTCATATCAATCTAATTGAATTTTTTTCCCTTTTTTCATTACTTTGCTGACGTTGGATGTTACTGAAAGTACACACAAATCCGGGCGCAAATACAACCGTAAACTTGTGTCTGATGATAAAGATTTTACCTTAAAATTCGTTTCATGTGATATTTGCAGTATAATAAATAATTGTGTGTCCCTATAAGGACAATTGTTAAACTATGGTTCCATTAAATTTTATATCACTTGAGAGATTGTATATAAGTAAAGAATAAAATTTATCGTTCATTTTATTTTGTTATTTGATGTAATTTTTTTTATCAAAAAAATTCTCAGATTATGACTTTTTTCAAGCTATTGGATTTTTCTCTGAGCCTTATGAATAATATTTATTCTATCAAATATTGTGAGACTAATGATATCTACTCACCTCTTCATCTAACTTTTCTTCTTTAATGGCTAACGAATTATCACCACTTGAAGTAATTGTTGATCTTGTAATTTTTCCACTAGATTGATTTGTTGCATCTGTCACAATGGTTTGTACTGGATTTGTTAAACGATCAACATAAATATTCCGTGTTTTCGCATTTTGTGTATTTTTTTCGTTTTCTTCACTTTCGGTGTCAAGAAGTTCTATCGTGACTCGACAATCAATTTTATACTAAAATTTAAAAAAGACAAGTTAGAAATTATAATCTTTTATTATCACAAGAAAAATAGTTCACTTACTATGTACACTTTAAAACAATTCTCATCTTGTAGAATGTTCTCGGCCCTTCGTTGGTATGCCATTTCAACAGTAGTTCGTTTATTAGCAGTTTTGAGATAACCACCTGCACCATTTTTACGTTGCTCTTGTTGGAACAATTCCACAACTTCGATTGCATTACGTTCAGTTACACAGTGTTGCAATTGACGCACAGCATTTTGAACAACCTAGAAATGAAGATAAAACGTGTTTGTTATTTTCACATTAAATCTATTCTTTATAGGAAATGGTTAAAAAGCAAAATTACCCTATCTAATGTGAATGCAGTATACGCATGAATGCCAAACATTTCACGTAACGAATCTTCATAATGATTTGAATCCATATTACCGTCCAATACACTTTTTAACATATCAAGGAATGTTGGATAGTAATCTTCAACTAAAACATCCGACATTGGTTTTAGACGAAGGGCCACTGCTGTGGATTCTCGCCGGTTTCCTCGGTTGTTCTGTTCTTCCGAAGCTAATAATTGAGCACGTTCATACATATTTCGCAATCGTTCACATAGAATTGCATGCAGCCGCAAAAATAAATACCAATTCGTGTTTGCAAAGAATAATGTATATGCTTCCTCCTGTTAATTTAATATATTTTTTCAAATACAATTTGATAACAACGTCGAATGAAGTTTAATTTTTTGAATATAACTTATAGAAAATGAACTTACCTGCATTTTGTTAAGAGCATATGAAGGTGATAGATCATCAAGCGAATTACAAGAACTTTCTTGCTTTATTTCTGATGATATTTCAGATTCAACAACTGTTGAAATGTTGCTTGTTTGGTTACTTTCGTCATTAATGGCACATGAAGTAGCGTCTCGGAAAGAAAAATCCGGTTTTGAAAGATGTATTTCAGACGATACACTGTCAGAGTTTTTCGGTGACTTTTGTTCAGTGTTTACAGTCGTTGTTTCATCTGTTTTATTGATCGTTTTAGTGCAACTTGTACCATCTGTTTCCTTAATGTCTTCAGTTCCACATGTTTTTCTTGGTGGTGCTACCAAATTATTATTACTACCATTTGATTGGGTGTCTGGTTTTGCCGCCACTATTATATTTCGATGATTTTCTGATGATTGAAAATCCATATCTTTGTCTTCTGTTAAAATAGAAACAAGTTTTTTTAAAATAAGCCATATATTCAATTTTGATAAACATGATTCAACATACCGTCATCGCGTTCATCATCACTGAGCTGCTGACGTGGCCAGAAGAATAGATCTGGAACAAACTGCCTTAAAATATGTTTTATTCGAGTTTTTTCTTGCTTTTGAACTGCTGTTTGTCGTTTAACATGATGTATCAAAAGATTTGCTGCATCATCTAATATACTTTTATCCTTATATGGTAGTATAAGATGTGGTCCACAAACAACTTCGGTGTTATCGTCGTTTTGTTCATGGCGCTGAAAAGATTATATATATATAATAAATAACTCAAAAGAATAAATTTCAAAGCTTAAGTAAAAAGTTGTGAATCAATGCAAAGTTTGAATATTTTTTTAATAACTTAAGTTATACTATTATATTACTAAGAATTCTTAGTTCAATTCAAAAAATAACTATAACTATAACTTCCATGGTATAAATTTACATACGTATATTGGAAACAAAAAAATAATTTGAATAAGATAATAATTTACCTCATCATAGAGAGTTTCAATATCATTGAATAAACTTTTTGATCGCAATGCTTTGATATCGTTCTGCTTAAAATTGATGCCTTGATGATCTAATGATTTGAGGTAATATCTATGGATGATCCGAAGAAAACAATAGAACAAAATGGAAATTAATCAATAAGTAATGAAACAGAATGGAAAATGGAATTATAAAAGAAAGCATATAGTTTAAGCGCAAATGACCACAACAACATTGCTTTTGTGGTCAAACTATATAGTTTCTTACATTCTAATGGTTTTTCAATCATCTCTCGCTCACGAACTCATGTATTTGGCAACACACACACACAGAAATGCTCTCTCTTTCTATCTCACATACATTTCTGTTTCCATCATCATCATTTTCATTTGAAAATCTCTTTTCACATATTATAAAATTTATTTCAATGATGATAATGGAGAAAGAATCGAAGGAATGATCGGAATTGTGGACTAATGGAATAGTAATTTAATAATAGTAATTGAGGTAATACTTTTCGTTTTGCTCACGCCATTGTTTATTAAAGCTCTTCTGGGCCTCTCGCCATTCTTCATCTTTGGCTTTTAATCTTCGAAGTACCACTTGCACAGCAATTTGTGGAGTTTTTTTAAGTCCTTGAATGATATCTGGAGCTTTATCACCATATACACGCCTTAATGCACGTTGATGAATAGTTGGAGAGTTCCCACCTAGACAATCGTCTAGTTTAAATTTCAAAAGTTCATCTTGGGACATTCTTGATATTTTTTTCTGAACTCCTTCAAGCACACGTATAGTGGCTGCATTTGTTTCAATAACCACATCTAATTCGAAGCGTTCATCCTCACATCGATAAATTATTTCTTCATATTGTGTTTTGCGTGAAGTGACAAATGTTGAGTCCTCCGCCCAAGTTGGAAATGACACCCATGTGTCATTGAGAACTTCTCGACATAAATTTGTTCGACCAGAGCACTTACGAGATTCACTAGTCTTTGGAAGTGCACAATAGCTCGCACCTAGTCGCTTACACGTTGATAAATCAATTTCTTGTGCCATTTCACCCTGATTACGATCTTGTCTTTGAGAGGTTGCCAGTGAGATTCCTTCAGAACTACTTTGTGAACCCAAGAAATCCTGGAACCATCGATGGAGTTCAGGAAATTTGCTAAGAAACGGAGTTATCAATAGTACTAGTTCTATTCTTGAAATTATTTCTTGGTTAAATAGTGTTAAACATCGTAAGAAATTATCGTATACTTCAGGGCTGCGTAGTGCTTTTCGAACCTTATCAAAGAAGGCATAATCATTGAGGGATCCAAACTTTGAAGCCTCCGATAATGTAACGTCTCGACAAATTGGCTTATGGCGTTTCGGTGGAGATGGACCATCTCGATCGCGTACCAAGTGATTCACTTGCATTGAAGGATAAGAAGGTGAACGTTTTACGGCACCACCACCAAATTTCGGAGCGACATGATTACTACGGTCTTTATCAAGACCACTATTTCGGAAGTCCTTTTCGCCGGATGTATGATAATCGCGATCGATTCGTGACAAGTTATTCTGAGAATTATTAAATGACTTCACTGTTGTCTGGTGCGTTCCAGACGATGATGTATTTACTTTTTTATCATTATGCCCGTGAGATCCACGATTTATGAACTGGGTTGCTGAATGATTTGTAGCATCTGGCAAAAATTGACCAAATTCACGCAACAGGTCTTCTTGTTGATCGAATAGTTTCGCCACTTGACTATATACTTCTGCTTCAGTTAACTGTTTTGGTGGCAAATTACCTGATCCTTCTTTTAGAACTTTTTGTTCTTTCTGATAAGCATGTAATATTTCCAAAAACCGCTTATATTTCTCTGGTTGTGCTTGAAAGCGTATCTTTATTTTATTAACATACGATATTGCATGATTGAACTCAACTGGTTGATTTTGATTTTGATTAGATCCTGCTTGTTCAGCCTGAATTATAGACTGATGTGCCTGTGAAATGTGGTGAAGATTATGACCACTATTTACATCAGTTGCAATCGATTGAGGCGGAGGTGAAATATGGTGTAAACTATGGCCTATAATGAAAAATGAGTAAGAATGAATTTCGTGAATATTGGATTAATTTCATGATTTTTTTTATAGAATGCTATTACTATTATAACTTTAGAAAATAATGAGCTCGGTAGTTATGTAATCCAGAAATTACTACCTATTTATGTACTAAATATTTAAATGTTAAATTGTAAAAATTTGAGTTACCCAAAGGTGGCTTGTTCGCAGATACGGTGTTGACTTGTGTTACTGTGTTTCCCGCTACGACACTAATTGAAGACCCTACTCCACCTTGCTGTTGTGAATGCTGTTGTTGTGAGATTGCCGCGAAATTGGATTGTGAGGACATGGAAGAAGAAGTCTGTGTTTGGGGCTGTGATTGCTGTGGACCTAATTGGTAGATTGGTTGTCTTTCAGAAATTTGATGAATTGTAGGATTTTGCATATTATGTATTAATTGGTTTCCACGGTGAGGCGACGTTGGTTGCTGTAAACAAATATTTCCCCCTGATGGGGATGGCATCGAAACAGATACTTGAAATGCAACACCTTGATCATTTGCTTGCACTTCTATTTTATATCCAGGTGGTAAAAATGTATTAAATCCAACAATCAGTTCGGGGTGACCCTTAAATAGATTTGACACTCGCTGAATTACTCCTGGAGTGTCAATACTTTGTGATTTAAATTCCTTCATGATATCCAAAAAATCATTGTACACTTGTGGTTGGTTTCCAAACTTGTATTTTACTTGATCCAAGTAACTAAGAGCATCTTCGACTTTCAGGCGCTGAAATTTTTCTTGTCCTGTCGTTTGTTGCGGTACTGTAGATACTTAATGAATAAGAAAAGTTTTATAAATTAAAAAATAATAATAAAAATATATATTAAAAGAAGTAACAATGCGACTAGACTTATTTTGTCATTACGTATGAATATGAATAAATTGAAAAGATATTGATTTCTTACTCCAAATTTGCCAGGAAGTAAAATTAATTGGCATTGTGGTTAAATTATAAATCAATTGGACGGTATTATTAAATAGTTTTCACGTTTTAAATAAAAATATCACAGCGGACGGCAGTTCGCGCGAGTGACGAAACCACATTAGTGTGTTGAAAAGTCGAACTCGCTATATATACACGTAATATACGAAATCCAGACCTAGAAGGCCGTTGGCCCCGGTTGATGTATGGTTGGAAAGCCCTTGGGCTATAGATCAAGAAAAAATATAAAAGTTTGAAAATCGGTCCACCTGTCTTCAA